GCACGGAATTTTCTACCGTTTTACTTTAGACTACAATTTAAACGTGTTCGTTATAAGTACGTGGAAACTGCTTTTTTAGTTTATTTATGTCTGTAAAAATTAATAATAATAATAATAATAATCCGCGCCCCTGGATTATTATGACAACATTTCTGTCAGTGGTCAGCCTTCTGTCTACTACATGATGTAGATTTTTGGACTTGAGACATGCTCATGTTTTCATTTTCCGTACGAGCGACTTTTCCGAGAAATAGGTGCACCGCCGAGGACCGAACCTCAGGGATGAGAGTCGCACGCTGAAGCCACTAGGCTATCACTGCTTTTAAGACTCTAACTATTATAGACTAATATCTTAGCATTACGGAAAGTAGGCTCCAGATAAAGCGCCTGTACTGTATCTTCCAATACCGACAATCCTTCCAATACCAATCCTGACATTTTACTATAACTTCAATTACTTTACGCGTAAATATTTTATTATTTTTTTAAGCCATTGACCACCAAATTATCTGTAAGCAGTGGCGTTACTATACCATCTGGGGCCCGTGGCAAATTCTTTTGATGGGGCCCTATCAGTAAAAAATGTCACGTTGTACTCAGTTTAATTTTAATAAACTTCGAGATTTTCAGCGTTGTGTATATCCACTATTATTATGATTAAGCATTCATCCCTACAAATTACAAGTAATAAAAATGTCGACATAATATGTGGTATTATAATTTCGTAAACGAAACGGAAAGCGCATACTTGCTGGGAGAAATCATGAGGCTATACGTTCCGGACAACTATTACCGCGGCCGGAAACATAACCTTTTTGCTGTGCGTTCGGCTACTCTCGCTGCTTAATGGGTATCTCGACTCTTCACCTGAGAGCGACCTATTTGGGAAGCGTAAGGGGGTGGTATACTGTGATTTGAGAGTATACTTGGAGGGGATAAGAGGATAGCATTTACTGTCAATTTTGTAAATAACTTAATTGTACTTTATTGTAGTTTTATGTTATTTTTAGTCTAAGTTTGGCCATGCATGGGCTGTAAATAAATAAATAATATTATTATTACTGTATGAAGTCCTACAACTGAATTGGATCACTCATTTATTTGATTAGTTAGATTAGGAAATTACTTACCAAGATCCCTTAGGAGTCTCCCTTAGGAGCCTCCGAGTCCGAGAAGAGATGAATAATAATAGACATAGCTTAACATTATTTTTTCGCTGTTGGCGTGAAGTGCCTTGACAGCTCAGCTCGGGCTGATTGTACGTTGTTCACGTAGGCGGGCGAACCGGTCGCGATTCTCATACATCTCGACTGCAGCACAATGCGCGATGACTGCGAAGAATGCGCTAGCATTGGTCATGGCGCGGACGGATACAGCCCCTATACAGCTTCTTCTTGTATCAAACGAACATCTGACTTATTTTATTCAGGACAATATTATCACAGACTATTATTAATATTAAGAAAATAATTAGGTAAGGTATGAAAATAGACTATTTCGTTAAACATTAGTAATTAATATGAAACAGGTACAAAACAAATATTATTTTACAGAGAATCAAACTATTAGCATTATATAATTACGTTACCCACGTATTATTAAACTTTTAATTACCTATAAGGAGAGTTGGTTAAAGGTCGTAATAGTAAATGAGGTCCATTGGGAGTGGTGAAGCGCATGGATTACAATTACAAAGACGTTTGCCGGAGGATTAAGTTGATGGCAATAATAACAGGTAGTCTCCAGAGCTTTCAGGGACATTGAACGTATGCAGTTAGGGTTGTCGCTTTGAACTCTATTGTAAACCGACAATTTCTATTTTTTACTCCAAACTTTCACCAAATTTCACTTTTAGTCCTGTCATAGGGATTGCGATCTCAGGTTGCGATATCAGCAATACACACATTTATACTTCTTGTGTTGAAGTTCCCGACTACCAGCTCAAACAAGAATTATTTTGCACTTAGATTTATTTCGCAATGTTACGCCTTCATTTATTTTGCCAAGGAACATTATCAATAAGTACCTTAAGATTACATCTTATAAAATCTTAAATTTCTTAGAATTGTCTTTATTAATTTACTAGGATGTATACTCATAAGCTTGTAGGCAAGTAGGTGAACAGCCTTCTGCACCTGACACACACCTCGCTGGGTCTATGGCTTTCCTCACGATGTTTTCCTTCCCCGCACGAGTGTTAATGCGCACATAGAAAGTTCTTTGTACCGCCAGGGTTCGAACCTACGACCTGAGGAGTGCAAGCACGCTGAAGCCTAGACCAAAACTACTCAGTTATAAATTATACCACTGCCTTTATCAGGTAATCATCTATGTAAGCGAGTGTCGTAGCTTCGAGTTTAATATAAATATAAAATAAATACCGTTCTTATAAAAACTTTAGGTATTTCCCAAGTTCTTCATACTGCATTAAAAGTTATTGGAAATATATCAAACAAAGTTCTTAATTAGGCAACACGTCAGAGCAATATGTGTCGGAAATTAATCTTCTCCAATAATGAGATATTACCCTTTGATTATTAAGTGGGCAAAAGTGATATTAATTTCCTGTTACAAATATTTATTGAAATACAATTATTTGGGATTACACAAAAAAAAATAAGTTACAAGTCATAAGAATAATGCAATAAAAAAGTAGAAACTGCCGCCATCTAAAGAATAAGATAGAACAAACTTCAATATGGAGGAGTACTAAAAGGAATATAAATATCTTCCTATGAACAATTGCTCATTCGTTTGCAGAAACAATAGAATACGTAAATATATTATCATCTATTTAATGTCTACTGTTTTATAAAAAAAACATACTCTTCCTTGTTTTGTTTACTTAAAGGAAACTTTAATTTTTTTTAGGTAATACATTTATTTATTTCCTATTTTTACAGTAACTTAAAACTAAACTAAACCAAAATCATGATATAAACAAAACAAGAAAACATTAAACCTAAACCTTTTTATAACTAATAATAAATAATGCAATTCTTGTGAATTCAGCCAGTGTGCAACTAAATATATCCGTCTCACATGAAATTAAAATCCCCACCAGTACCTTTAAATAAATTAGTTCTGATTTCTAACACATGTTTTTCTAAAAAACACGGACGAGGATAAAATTAAATGATATGTGATATTGACTAGGTGCTAGGTAACCCAGGTTTCATATTTTGGCATCAGCAAGTCTCTGTGTATACTTTCCCTTTGAGGTTTTTATTCCTACTATTTTCTAGATCTAACTAGCCAGCTCGCAAAGTTCTTTTTACAAAATATAACGATGGTTACCATGGCAACGGTTTTATATGTCAGGAACTCTGCTTTTTCTTTCATGGTAACTAAACTTCATGGTAACTATTTACCTAAACTAAAACATTATGTTTTAGTTTAGGTAAATATTAATAGTAATTACTTTTGACACTTTTATAACATACGTTGTCTTACACTCACGTTCTTTATTTAAGACAGGGACATGTCGAATACAGATTCACGGCAAGAATAGTAGTAAGGGTCTATAATATTTTCTTTATTACGTAAATATCACAGACACGCAGTTATAGAATAGTTATAGATTCAGTACTGTTTGACAGTCAACTAACCAAGCGTCCGGTAACGCAAATTTCAAGACAATTATTATTCGAAATTCGAAATAAATAATTGTCATAGATTATTTTAACGTCAATTAATATCAATTACTTTTTCATAACCCTGAAACATCATGGATCTATTAAAATCAAGATACCAGACAGTGTATCAAGTTAAAATTATTTGTGAAAGCCCTGGGGGTAGGGCAAATGAGAGTAGTTGAAGTTAAATTGATCAATTAAAACTTGGCCATTCGTAAGATAGCCGCAGAGTGATACTCACTTACTGACTTACCATTAACGTGCTATTGAGTTTATGGTGATGTACGAAATATATATTTTGGCATAAGTAAATATAACATCACAAATGTATCGAAATTCGTAACTTATAGATTAAAATATAAATAAGTAAAAGCACATTTTATTTGTCCTTATAACTACGTTCTTATTCAAAAGCCAGCAAGTTTCTATTAAGACATTTTTAAGAGGATAAATCTTTAAAAAAAATATTTGAACTATCTATCTTTATATATATAATTCTTCTGTGAGTGTGTATGTCACTGAACTTCTCTCAAACGACTGGACCGATTTTGATGAAATTTTTTGAGTGTGTTCAAGGGGATCTGGGAATGGTTTAGATTCACAAATCAGCCCGCCAGATGGCGCTGCAGTCGGTACTTTCATACTTTGCTTTACTAATTGCTTGAAATATCATGCAGGACAACGTCTGTCGGGTCCACTAGTAAACAATAACAGTTTCCATTGGCCTGAAGGATAACTTGTATAATAGTAACATTAGCTCACGCTTACGAAATTCCCACACAATTTCAGTTTCATGCCTATGGTATCCAAGTGTTATAGAAATGTGAAATGCATTCCTTAAAGTTGTTTCTTAAATAATAATGTTGCGCGTTTTAGATATAATCATTAAGTTTGAATTGCGGTAGCCGGCTTTGTTAGGTTAGTGTTGGTTAATAATTAATATTTTATGCAATTTATTTCTCATAGAAGAAGTCGCAGTTTGATGTTGGGGTAGTGAGTAATTAGTATATAGTTTTGCAATGTATTTTTATTCATTTGATATTCCTGTGAAAAACAATTCAATCGAAACGTTTTACACAAATTATTTATCAGCCCTATTAATTTGATTGCACGGAAATTTGTTGAAACTGCAGATAGTTTTTCAAAAGCAGCCAATCGTATCTGGATTTATTTATATCATAATCAAAACATGCATTTATCGTGTACTGCATTCCACTTAAAAAATGACCATTTATTACAAGAGCTATGTCAAAATCGCCAGACAGCGACACTTAAAAACTGCAATAAAAATGCAATAACATCGACGTGGTTCGGATTCCGCGATGCTTTTAAAAACGAATTCACTACGGAAATTATTTGTTTAAAATGCGTTTTCGCGAGTTGATAGTCGTTTATCTGTTTCATTATGTGCATTGTTTTAGTAGAAATGCAAGTTATCTGAAGCCAATAAATTTCGATCCAATACCTGATTATGTCGATTGGAGGGAAAGAAATGGCGTGACTGCCGTAAAAGATCAGAAGAGCTGTGGAGCATGTTGGGCATTCAGTGCCGTCGGTAATGTTCTTTAAATTTCCTCTGGCGTTACGCCAAATAGTTACAGTATTCCGTAACCGTTGAACAAAGACTGTAAGGAAATTAAAAGTATCTTTTGGCTCGCATTTAAATGAGCTAGTTTTATAATAGCTAGTGTCCTCGTCAATGTCGTACCTTTAATCTTCTGAAAAAAAAGTCTTCTAAATAAAAAACCTTTGTTTTCAGCGAATATCGAGAGTCACATCAAAATACACTTCGGAACGGAAATCATATTGTCCGAGCAGTTTTTAATTGACTGTGATGTGGAGAGAACGGGATGCAAAAGCACTACTGTCTTGAAAACATTTGCGTAAGTTGCAAACACTAGAACATACTACTATCTTGTGTACTAACATAATGAACAGGGTAAATATTTTTGGTACTTACTTATTAGAGCAGTGTTGGCCTAGTGGCTAAAGCGTGCGCCTCTCATCCCTGAGGTCATAGGTTCCATCCTAGGCTGTGCACCAAAGAACTTTCTTTCTACCGGCGCATTTAATGTTCGCTCGCTGAAGGAAAATATCGTGAGGAAAGCGGCTGGCCTTGCTAGACCCAAAAAGTTGACGGTGTGTACAGGACCACCTACTTGCCTATAGGATTGACAAATTAGCATGAAATAGATACAGAAATCAGAGCCCCAGAAATAAAAAGGATTTAGCGCCACTGATTTATTTATTTACATACGTACTAATGCCACCGCAGCAAAAAGCAGCTTTAAAAAGCAATCTTGTTGTTCGCACAGGTTAGGTTCGGTGTAGATTGGCGGCGGAGTTCAGAGTTTTATTATTTATATTTAGTCTTCTAAGCTCAGATTGCTTTAATGCCTTACAAAATTTATCGAATATGGTTTTGATGGTAATCTAATAAATAATTGCTCAACCTTTATTATGGAGACACTATATTTGGCCTTACTTGCTATTTACTGACATATATTGGTAAATATTTAAAAAAACTTTTGAAACAACGAATAAATTTTTAAAAAAAATCAAGTGGGCGTTTTGACGTAAAAAATGTGTTTTTCAGTGAAATCGTGTCAACGTTTGGTGGAGTTCTAAAAGAAAAAGATTACTATCCTTACTCGAACCGTGCTGAGGAATGCAGATGGAATAGAGAAAACCCAAAACCAATCCCAGTTATAGGTTTCCAAAGAGTGTCGTCTGACGAAGCAGTCATGGCGGAATATTTGAGCAAATGTGGACCGCTTTCAGCTGGTAATAATTTTTCAGCGTAAATAGATAATCAAAAAGTGAAGTTATTATATTAAGAATTAATTATCTTATTATGTATAAATTACGTGTCACGTTGTTTGTCCGCTATGGACTTCTAAACTACCGAACCGATATCAATCAAATTTGTACACCGTGTGTAGTTTGATCCAACTTAAAAGATAGGAATAGCTTACATCTCAATTTATACCCGCAATATTATTTTATTGCAAAATATTTGTTTATTATTTGATAGTCACAATTCTAACAGATGGCGCTGTGTTGAAAGTACCAACGTTTCACATAAGCTACAATTTAATGGCATAACCACCAAAAAAGCATGGTGGTCCCCATGACTGGTGTTCTCCTACCGTTTCACTTGAATAGTTTGCCACTATATAACATAACAAAAACCTTAGCCACAGCAACGCTTGGCCGGTGTGCTAGTATAACATAAAAATATTAGGTTTTATAATACGAGGCATAAATAACATGATAAAAAAACCAGTGGTGCTACGACCACGAAGGCAATCATCCTTCTGACACCCAAAATTCCTGTAAAAATGCTCTAATTTTAATAATATAATAAAACAGTACATCATATCGATCCTATATAAATTGAAAGGCTATTTTTATTACTAAATACGATGATTTTGAATTGAGGGAATAGAACCATCTATATAGCATATTCTACCGCATTTACCATGGAAAGTGTTCAGAGTTGTTCGGATTAATACCTGAGCTGCTGAGTTACATCATCGGACGTCGAGACAGAATACGAAATTCCACCCGTATCACCTTGACGTCCGTCGTTCCACAACTGAGCGTTTTTTAAGGCAGTTTTTGAACCTTACCACTTTTATGTGAACCAGCTGCCCACTGAAGTATTTCCAAACCAATTAGACTTAGGGCCCTTCAAGAAAAGAGCGTACCAATTTTTAGAAGGCTGGTGACGTACTTGCAAGCCAGGCAATGTGAGTGTCCATGGACGGCGGTATCACAAAACATCGGGTGAGCCTCCTGCCCATTTTTCTCTTTTTATTAAAAGAACCTAAGTAACAAGTCGTATCGCTTGCCTGTGACAGGTCAATCTTATAATTGATGATCCAATCCTTTTTATCATACTTCATAAGTTATTCCTTCACCACTTGCTGAAAAATATTAAATACGATAATTTTTCCTAAACTCGTGGTGACAAAATTTTTATAGCAATTAATTCAGCATCAATGTACAACTACAAACCTAAAGACGGATTGATACCTATCGACGAGCCAACTGAAGATGACTGCTCTTCAAAACCTGATGCCCTCAACCATGCTGTTTTGATTGTTGGATATAGTGCGTCTGGTATGTGTTCTTTGAAACTATAAAAAAATAATTTATTATGGAATATAAGATACAGGTATCACTTATTTCACATCATTAAATTTGAATCGGTAGACATCCCTACTCATCGGCAAAGAAGACAGAGGGTGTAGGCCGAGAGAAAAACCCGGCGTAAAAAAATTCTCGGTACTCTTTTAAAATAGCAAATCATCAGACAACACTTATAGCTATTTAAGCTAGTATATTCAAGGTCTCTGGTTCAAATTGTAAATATAAAATGCTATTATTAGTTCAATAGTAAAACAGGTACAAGTGTCTTTGTATGGATTTTTAACTCGCAATAGCAATCCTGACTTTAACGTATGAACTATGCGATGTTCATTTTGCGGCATCAGCGCGTTTTGCATACAAAAAGTCAGCGTTTATTATTAATTTATTTATTGCACCAACTAGGCCACATATAAAAAAAACAAATTAGAACGGTGTTCTCGATAATAACTGCGGACGCCATGCACAAACAATATGGTTATTTTGTAATTAATAAGTGAACATAGATAAGTATCACAAAAAGAAATAATTTGCATGTAGTAAATTTGTACTTCATTGTACAAGCATTACTATCCTCTTAACTTCGTGAGTTTGAAAAGATATATATATAAATAATTAATTGATAAAACTACTTGCTATTCATGTTTCCTACGTTGCCCGTTTGCTGGGCGAAGTTAAAAAATATTTAAAAATTGTATGAAATTTGCAGGCACATTGATTATATTTATTGACATATTTTTATTATTCTATCCTATTAAATAACATCTCCACGCTAAAAAAAATATGAAAATTTTCGAAATTCTTTTCTTTTATAAAACCATTCTACTTCTTATATATATATATATATATATTATTAGTACGCTTATATAATCCATACAATTTGTGTATAAAAAACTTAATATTGCGCGAATCTCTGAGTATTTTTATATAGTTGTACTCTTGTTAATTTGAGATCCGACTTTTTTATAACTATAACTACTGTTTTTTATAACTATATCATCTAAGTTATCATTTAAATGAAAGGGGAAATTTAGTTCACAGTTAAATATCTGTGATTAATGTTGTAGTTTTTTGTATAAATATTAATATCGTGTTTATAATCGTGTTTATAAAAAGAACAAAAACTAGTCAACAAATGGACGATTTTTACATATAAGATATTTTATATAGGTCAACTTTATAATTTTCATAGTGTTTTTCAGTGTATAACGGCCGGACAACTCCGTACTGGATAATCAAGAACTCATGGGGAAGTGAATGGGGAGATGGAGGGTATTACTATCTTGTGCGCGGGCGCAACGCGTGTGGTATTTCTAACGACGTGTCATTTAGCTTCGTTAACCAAAAATCATGTGTAATTTGAAAAAAAAATATTTATTACAGCTCTAAATAGTACTGTAACGTTCAAGGTAACTAATAAGCTTATATACACAAGATACTTCACTAAAAAATTTATTAATTACCTCACTTTGTGTTTTCATTTAATAACTCACTATAGATAAGAACTGGCAAGGCGATGTCACTCTTTTTAATCGCCAAGTATTGCTATACAAGAAAATTTGAACAACGATTACGACATGCGTCACATATTGAAACGTAATGTCATAATAGTAAAGCAACAAACGCTTAGCATTAGCGGGGAAAACAGAGAAAACAAAACACAAACACGTAGTCAATGAAATTAAAAGAAATGTTCCATTAATGGAAAGTTCAAAGAAATCGTCTTTTTGTTTAGTAAACCAGACTGAGATCCCGAAAACTTCATACGAGATCCTTCTAAAGCAATGGCTAGTTGTATAGTATTATAAAATTAAAAAGTGCCCGTAGGTACACGAGGAACAGCTTTTTATAGTATTTTCAACTAATGAAATGCCAGTTACTCCTATTAATTGCTTCGCTATTTAAATGTCAGACATTAAAAAGGATAAAATAAAAATGCAGACATCATTCAGGAATTAGTTTTTATGATTATATTTTAAACGACCATTGAAAGGCCCTTTAATTCCCCATTGTAAAGTCATTTAAAACCGTATAATATTTTATTAAATAAAATTAAATCTGGGGAACATTCCATCATCGCTCAACAGAATTTGATGTTTTCAGAAAGTGGTGAATAAATAAATTATGATAAAAACTTTTAACTAATGTCTTAGTATTTAGGTGTAAAATGCGTTTGGGGTAAAGGTTAAACCTTAACCTGAAATCAGGCCTAAAATTGGAACAAACATTGGTCGAAAGCACTCTAAAACTCTTTAAAGGCCGGCAACGCACTTGCGAGCCCTCTGGCTTGTGAGTGTTCATGGTTCCATCACTTAGCATCTGATGAGCCTCCTGTCGGCTTGTCATCTGTAATAGAAAAAAAATATTGCTCGAGGTGATTACAACTCACCGTGTGCAGAAATGTGATCAGTAACGCTATAATCATTACTTTTTGACTAAATATTGAGGATTGTTTAAAGACTCCTTGTTTGCCGAAACTCATCTAAAGTAAGAACGCAAAGTAAAAAAATATTAATTTCATTTTAAAAATGTTGTAAAATACAATAATTACAAAAAACTAAACTGTAAAAATAGCGAAGAGTTTTTTGCATCGACCCTAAGTTTGCGGATTGGCATTATATTTAAATTTAGAATCTTATTTGTTTATGTTATTAATAAATAGTATTGATTTATGTTAAGTTAGACTTAACTAAAACGGTTGGTGTAATAACTTTTTATGCCTTCATCAACAATACTTAGGTTATATAAAGCTCAATAAATACCTAAATGACCGAATAAAAAACCACTAAAGCAGGTCCTAACTTAAAAACTTTGTCCATCAGCCTGTTTGCATAGCTCACTGATATTTGGACACAATCCAATAAACTTAGCATTGAAATCAAATCAAATACAAAAGTTTTTGGCTTTGTAATGCTGAGGCGTCAGTCTATTGTGATCTCCAAAAGAATTCTTAAATAGCTATTTGACCGATAATTCACTGACAGTATAACTAATAAATCGTTGTCCAGAACTGGATTATACCGAAGAATTATTGTAATTTACAAAGGGATACTATTTTGTTTCTCAGTTTAAAAAAAAGATTCAAGTATAACGTACGCTTTTAAAATGCTGTCCATAACCGCTTTTTCAAAGAAAACAGAGTTGGCTTAGGGGCTTCAGCGTGCGACTCATCCTGAGGTTCGAGTAGACCTTCTGTCTATGTGAAACATAATTATAACATAATTATAGTCGATGGCGTCCGGTATCCGTATCTGGCACAGAATATTTGAAGAAGTTGTAGCGCCGCTAGTTTTCAAAGAAAAATCTAAACTGTTCTCTATATCAGAAAACATGAAGACTCTTCAGCATCTTACCATATAGAAACGACATTACCAGGAAAACAGACTTTACGTCATGCGATATTGTAAGTAAGATATAGTAAGATAATGAGGCCACTGTTATGGGGACAAAAACAAGTTTTAACAACAGCCTTTATTACATAAAATCATTGGCGCTACTAACTCTTTAGGTCTGGGCCTCATATTTCTGAATCTGTTTCATGATCATTTTTCGATCTAATAGGCAAGTGGGTGATCAGCCTCCAGTGCCTGACACACGCCGTCGACTTTTTTGGTCTAAGACATGTCGGTTTCATCACGATGTTTTCCTTCGCCGTTCGAGCTAACGTTAAATGCACACATAGAAAGAAAGTCCATTGGTGCACAGCCGGGAATCAATCCTACTACCTCAGGGATGAGAGTTGTACACTGAAGCCACTAGACTAACACTGCTCATTTACACATTTACACCCTTTATTGTATATCTTTGGTATATACATATATATATATAGCAAAAGTATGAAAGTAGGGAACGTCTGAATTACTCACTATATATATTATAGATGTTAAATATTTCTAAATTTTTATTTATCTTCAATGTACTTGCAAACTTTGGAATCGGCTTCAAGTAGTCTTCTTAAGGAATTACAATCTAATTATTTAATTAATCTAATATTTAAGGAGAAATTACATATTTTAAAGCCCTTCCTATATCTCAGTATTTTGGTAAAAAGTTTCACACCTAATCATCGCTTTAAAATTAAGTACGGTAACCGCAAAAAACTTACAAGTATTATTTTTGTAGTCAGTTAATACTTTAATCTAGCCTACAGAAGTCAATAAATGCAATAAATAAGAACTATTAGACAAGGCTCATTTCTTGCATAGTCCAGCAATCAAATCACGGTTGTGTACTCGTGAAAGTAAAAATCATGAAGAATTCGACATCTACACTGAAAAGTTTCCGATATGTGTCAGGCGGAAAAGGCTAGTCATCTACTTGTCTATAAAAAAACCAATGATTAAAGAAACGGATGCAATTGGAGGGCAAAAATCATATAAGGCGGTAGCGCCATTGGAATATTATTATTAAACAGGGGAATATATCGCTACGACATGCGGCTCCTAACGACATCTCGTAGCACTGGCTACGAATAAACGTTAACCTTAATATCTCCTAATACTTGTCCCAATTCAATATTGAAAAGTAAGTCATTAAAGTATTGGGAATCCTAAACTTTAGCAATAAAAAAACTCGATAGAAATGGAAAGGAATTTTCCGCTTCTTTCCACTTCCGATCTAAGGAAAGTGGATTAAAATATGCAGGAACTTTGGAGAAATGTAGCATTTTCCGTTTGATTTGCTCGCTTAGTTTGGAAATAATTTTTTTATATAATATGACTTTAAATAAGTTTTAGCAGTTTTTGAAGTGCTTTACTATTTGAATAATTGCATTTGACGGTTAAAATATCTTGGGTTGCTGTTTTATATAACTGTCCTCTTTGCACTCCTGCGTTATACGCAACAGTCGTGAAGGTTGGAAAGATGACTTATGCCAGTCCACTAAGCAACATCAATCTGGAGCACGGAAACCGTGCCGGGCTTTCGATATCACTATCAGGAATATAGTATTTGTTGTCGTTTGCCCCTGTAAATAAAAAGCAATGTATGCGTAACGGCGACTGATTCGACCGATTCGGCTGATCCCGTTAACTCAACTAACAAACAACTAAAATATACGGTGTGTACCCACTCAAGTATCCGACCTTATTCATAATAGGTAGAACGAACTCGAGTGCGCCGAAAATGTTCCCTTACTATCATATAAAATTAATACCTGGAAAGAAAAGCAACCGGCAGTTCTCCACACAAAAGGCACACATGACACAATGCATGGAAGTAACTAATGAACTTCAAAAATTAAATAGACGTTTTTAATTGTCCGTTGAGTGAACTGGCAAAAGTTTGTCAGTCGCTATAGTGATAGAAATAGACATTCTGTTAATATTTTACAGTTAAATGTCGTATTATGTTTTTTTCTACGTGTAGGTTTATGTAATATAATCGTAATGTAATTAATCGGCATATTGCTTTGTAAGGGTAACATATTTTGTTAAATAAATAAATACTTCAATACATCTTTTTAAAATATTCATATCAAGTGTTGTGTCACCTAGTCGTCAAAATATTATTACTCTTATAAAAGTCTAAAATTTATGATTTTCTGGTTACTTTCCATAAATTGTTATTTTGCCGGGAACAATAGTTCGATATCCGTGTTACCACGATAGTCGTTAGGTGTTTGCTCTTGTATCTAGATCTAAAAAGCAATAAATCATCTCGGTTCAGCCCTGCGATTCTGTAACTCACTGATAAACAATAAACTACAAGCTCCCACCTTTTCAGAATGCCAAATCATAAAATGACTGCTTCACGACTGATTTGAGAGCGACCGCCGATGCGAAAACCGCTGTGTGAGTTACAGAATCGCAGGGCTGTATCATTAGATACGAGCGCGACTAGATTTATCCACGTTATAGAAGTACCCTAAGTTATAAATCTAGACTCAAGTGCTGGCAGTAGTGACCGCGTAATAACAATATTCTGAAGCCAACAATTAGTTCGCGGGAGAGCCTTATTCGTCAAACTAAGCACGGACGGGTAACTAATGCCGTGGCTTGCGGCGACCGCCCTTCCGTCACAACCAAATCTCCGCCTATTAATAACAGAAAATAAGCTTCACTTGATCTGAAAAAATAGCGACATTTTCTATCATTATTATGTTTTACGTACAAGAGCACATAACAGTTAATAATAGCGACAATGTAATACTAGTTAGTTAGTTAGATTTTTTACATTTAATATTTGTAGCTCAATATAAGAACGTGAACAATACAAAGACGAAATTCGACCTTAATCATCTTTTAATGCACACTTTGCCGGATACTACCTCTATATTCGATATAGTACCAGCTGCGGGTTCTATAAAAAACGCGTCATACACCTAATACCTTATAAAGTAAAACTTTAAATGTTCTAAAAATT